CCGCTGGGGCCGGGGGCCAACAGCCTCACAAAGCCTTCTCATGGAGAAACGAGCGTGGGGAAGCCTTTGGTGCCTACGCCGGTAGGATGGCAGCGCTAAGCATTTGCTTCCTCCAGTGCAGATGGGTGCTGGGGCTGATGGACAAAGGATGGACAGCAGGGGAGAACGGCTGTGACGAGCGGGAGCCGGCAACGATGTCCCTGCTCCACAACGCAGGGTGGTTTTGACTAGGCTTCTACAACAACTTATCTACAAGATACATTCAGCAGCAGCTTCAAATGCTGTGGTTGGAAGTATTCTGCTTGTTTCCTTTCCCTCCCCATCTTCAACTGGTGGGGAAGGGAAGGCCACCAGCTCCAGGGCACACCTTTGTCCTTACTTTGTGACTTGATGGATGGCGTGAGCCAGGTAACCTACATTGCCCGATGTAACTCCCGCCACAGAGATTCGTCCGTCCTTTGTCATATAGATGGAGAACTCCTTGATCAGCCGCTCCACCTGGGGCGAAAGAGCAGAGTTCAAACCGCAGGTCAACCTCCACTCTCTTCGCAGAGTGCAAATTTACGCAGCTTGCCAGAACTGAAAGCAAACTGGGAGCCAGCAGACACGGCATCCCGCTACCTGCGGTGCCAGCGGTGCACCCTGTAAACCAAGAGGGATGCTGCTGGCTCTCGAGCAACACACGAACGCTGCGGATGCTCAGCCAGGAGAGTCACCTCACTTGAGCTGACCTTTAAGGTCACCTCAGAGCGGCACCAAGTGACTGCTTCCTTTGACAGATAAGCAGGCTATGTCTGCTTTCAACCTCCACAAGCACAGCAGGGAGCAGAGCAAGACATGGGTCCCCACAATGTTCCAGTGCTGCAGGCTTGGAGCACGTTCCTCCTGGAGGAAGAACTGCCCACGAGGGCTCATTTTGGCACCTGCAGTCAAGATCTTCCTGACAAGGACCACAAACGACACCTTGAGACCCACAGGAACTGTGTTTACCTGCTCAGGCTTCAGCCCCGTGAAGCAGAACATGCCGATCTGGTCAGTGATGTGCTGCCAGTTGTGGGAGGATCCCTCTTTCTTGAGGTTGGACACCAGCTGAGTCCGCATGCTGATGATCCGGTCGGCCATGCCCTTCACCTCCACGAGCCTGAGAAGCCAACCCAGGAACCACTCAGAGCAGGGCTGGGATGTGCCAACGCTCCTCCCCCCCCCGCCAACTACAGGGAATCAACCCTCTCCACCTGGCAGGGCCTCATACCCCAAAAACATGGAGGATGCAGATGAGCAAAGACCAGAGCGCGTGAACCTGTAGCTCCAGCTGGGGAGCTGCTTCTTTCTCCTGGTACCTGAAGGTGACTGCTATTTATTTATTCCATAGCTGTTGGACACTACTACCAGAGTATCGGCATCTCTCACTTCTGAAAGCCACGGGTGAGCAGGAGGCCTCACGGCAGCACTGCCCAAACCCGGATAAAATAGTATCTGCAGATAAATGAAGAGCGTGGGGGTACCTCCCGGCGCAGGCAGGCATCCCTGCTCCAAGGCAGCACAGCTAGGAGACGTCTCTGCTGAGCCCTGGATCAGGCACAAGCGTCAGCCCGCCAAAGGAGCGCAGCTCCCAGCGAGGCCGCAACACACAGCCAGCCTTTGTTCTGCCAGGCCAGCTGCCGGCAGGGACTCCACACCGAGGGGCTGGGAGAGCAGCACAGGCTGACGCCAGGAAGCAGGCTTAGGGCATGAGGATTACATTCCTGGGTCTTATTCCCAGGGGGCTTACGCTTCCACTTCCCCCGTGTGAGACATACTACGTGGCTACAATGCCTCAGTCAGTCTTTTCCACTCCTTGGACAGGCAGCTCCTGCAGCCCTCAATCCTAGGGGAGCTTTATCTCCTCCTTTACAGTGTTTTCTGCCTTGGTAACACACGGGAAACCTGTTTGTGTCAGGCTGGACCGATACCAGCTGATGCCAGGGCACGAGCAGGGATTTCTTCAGAGGGAAGGGGTGGCACGTGGTTCTGACTGTACCCTTGAAGCTATGAGCTGCCCATGACAGCACAGGGCTGCCAGAGAGACCTCACGTCTCGCTGTCGTGAGCATTAGGGGTTCCCTCTTACCACTCCTTCCGAAGGTCAGGGGTGTTCAGGATGATAGAGGCGATGCGGGCTCCGTTCAGGGGTGGGTTGGAGTACATGGGGCGGATGAGGATCTTCAGCTGTGATTCGACCCTCTTGGCTTCCTCTGCATCGCTGCAGATCACCGTGAAGGCACCCGCACGCTCTCCTGAAAGAGGAGCAATCAGGTCCCAGCCTCTGCCCTTGGATACCCAGGGCTGGGGCAGGACTCATCCAAATGCACACAGCTTTAGCGGAGCCCTGCTCCCTAGAAAGGTCTCCACCAGCTCCCAGCGGGTTCTCTCCCGCACCCCGATCAGTACTGCAGGATGAACGCAGGCAGCAGAAAGGCACCGGGCGCTAAACCCCAGAGGCAGCGGTGTCCCCCCAGCAGCCTGCATGAAACCGCCTCCACACCACCTGCCCTACTCACCGTACAGCCCCATGTTCTTGGCGTAGGACTGTGACAAGATGACGTTGATGCCCTGCTCGATGAAATACCGCACAGCCCAGGCATCCCGGTTGATGTCTCCGCTGGCAAAGCCTTGGTAGGCCATGTCAAAGTACACGAGGAGGTTCCGTTTCTGCCAGCAAAGAGGGGAGAGAGTGTCACAGGAGCTGAGCACAGGGCAGCAGGCTGAAAAGAGCCATGCAGGCAGCGGGCTGCTCAGCTGCAACTCTGCTCCTCCAGAAGTAGAGCCATTCCCCTTCGTTTGCAACAGGGAAGGCAGCCCCAAAACCACAGCTACCCACCAGGCATTGAAACAGCAGGTCAAGACCCTCCCAGCGCGTTTTGGGATGTGCGGTCTGGCCCAGGAAGCAGAATTGGATTCAACGGTAACAAATTATTCCATTTCCGTGTCTCCTGTATTATCAGTTTCCAGGAAAACCACCTGGGAACCCTCTGGGCAGGTGCCAGCCCTTCCAATGCCTCTAGGCAGATAACCCAGCCGCCCCGCCCCTGGGTCAGGAGACCCGCCGCCATCTGTAGGCCCCAGCGGCCACTTTGCTATCTACCAGTTCTCAGAACACTACTAAGGCCAGGCATCCCCAAGCCAAATTTCACTGGCTACAGCTTGGGGGAGCGGCAGGGAGGAAGAGGAGAGGGATGAAGGAAGAACCTGCCCCTCTCTCTTTCCAGCTGAAACTTGCGAGGCAACCAGGCACGTGAAACATCTTCCAGCATTTTTAATACACCAGCACCGGGAGACCCTCTCCAGCTATCACAGCTCACTCTTTCAACCCTTTCAGGTCTCCTACCCCTGGGAAGGTGCCAGCAGAAAGTCTGACGGTCAGCTAGAAGCTTTATGGGTGCGCTTCTCTGGCTCCTGTCTTCAGTACAGGAACATGGCACCCATCCTGGCTTCGGGGAAGGGAGTAACCTTTAGCGCGGTGAAGACCAGATACCACCCGTGAAAGCCCAGAGATGTGGTTTTCCCAGGAACAGCACAGTACCCCTGGGACACTCTACTGCTCACCTTCACCATAGCTGCCAACTCCTTCCATTGCTCCTGCCGGGGATCCACCCCGGTGGGGTTGTGAGCACAAGCGTGCAGGACGATGATGCTCTTCTCTGGAATTTTCTAAGGAAGATGTTACAGAGCATGAATTATTAATGACATCTGAGCACTCTCCTCAGCAGCTGAGATGGGACTCTTGCCCTAGACAGCTTAGACAAGCTCTGTAAGGTTTCTAGCCTTCATTTGGTGCCTTCAGGCATCCTGTTCAAAAACGATCAGAGGGATGGAACACCTCTGCTGTGAAGAAAGGCTGAGAGAGTTGGGGTTGTTCAGCCTGGAGAAGAGAAGGCTTCGGGGAGACCTTCTTGCAGCCTGTCAGTACTTAAAGGGGGCCTATAAGAAAGATGGGGACAGACTTTTTAGCAGGGCCTGTAGCGATAGGGCAAGGGGCAATGGTTTTAAACTAAAAGAGGGTAGATATAGATTAGATATAAGGAAGAAGTGTTTTACTCTGAGGGTGGTGAAGCACTGGCCCAGGTTGCCCCGAGAGGTGGTGGATGCCCCATCCCTGGAAACATTCCAGGTCAGGCTGGACGGGGCTCTGAGCAACCTGATCTAGTGGAAGATGTCCCTGCCCACGGCAGGGGGGTTGGACTAGATGGCCTTTAAAGGTCCCTGCCAACCCAAACTATTCCATGATTCTACGATATTTAGGCTAAAGCAAGATGGTCACCCATCTCCCCACATCACCTCCCTGCTGCCAGGCATGAAAGGCAACTCACGGAAATGTCATCCATGGCTCCAGAGAAGTCAAGGCTGCATGTCTTGGGGTCGTAGTAGCGGTAAGCCTGAAGTTGCAGGCCAGCATCACGGAAAATGGGTGTGTGATTGCCCCAGGATGGTTTGGGTAGATACACATCACGGCTAGACTTGAAGAACCGTTGCTGATCAAGAGAAAGACAGAGTGTTCAAACAGGTTGAACAGATTCAAGCAGTTAGAAAACCCCAAAGATTCAGCTCCGGTCAAAAGACGTCCTTTCCTTCCCCCACCAGCCAGGGACTCACCAAAAAATTGGCTCCGATTCGCAGAGATCCAGTCCCAGAAATACCCTGCACAGTGACATACTGCAAGGGAAGAAACAAATACATGAGTCTGAGCAGCCACGGTGTGATACAGGGAAAGCCCAGTCACTACATCAGCACCGGCAGAAGCACACCTCTGCGACAGCTGACTCAAACAGGGACATGGGGCTGGAGGGAACCGCAGGGGTCAGCAACTCCAGGTGCGGGGCAGGGAGTCGGGACCCCCGGCAAGGTCAAATCCCCTCCTCGGGAAGGGCTATTTCACCCCAGCCTTCAGAGGAAGCGGTTATCCTTGGGTCTGGCCAGCGTGCAACTCAGAGGCCTTAGTACCTGCCAGTCCTTCCACTTTTGCTGGGCACCCACGCACCAACCGTGCGTCAGACAGCGCTGCCCACCCCCTGCTTCCCAGCTCGCTCCTTACCCGGCCGCTCTTGAAAGCCTCACTGTTTTCACCCAGAGCCAGTTCTGCGGATGCCCGGGTGAAATCCGCTAGCCCCCCGATGGGCAAGTACTCCTTGTCCATCTTCTTGGATGCTATCATGGCCTCCGCCTGGGAAGGAAGACACACATTCAGCAAGGAAAGCATCACCGTGGAGAGGACGGTGGACAGCTCAAGGTCTCTTCTCTTCACATTCGCTTGCTCAAAAGGGGCAAAGGTTGGTTTACAGGGGTTTCCCTTCAGAGATCAGGGCTCATTCAAAGCCAGGGCAGCAGTAACCAGTTCAGGTGACGCTCTGCTTTTACCACGGGGCAAGGTGCCCAGCAGCCACCAGAGCCTTCAGTGGGTGCCAGCGTCGGTATAGCAGAGCCAGGACACTCGGCGCCAGAGGAGAGCACCACTTCCAGCCCGTTACAAGTCAGCGCTGCTGCAGAAGGACCAACGTTTCTTTGCCCGAGCAGGAATTGTCCTGCAGGAAGGCAAGACTTGACTGTTACCGAAAGGCAGAGATTGTCTCTACACAGGGAGACATCCCAAAACCAGGTAGGGGAGCAAGCCCTTTGTAGGGCCTCGTTGTGCTGGGAGTGTTATTGAACTAGATGGAGCAGGTTAAAAAAATATAAATCCTGAAACCCCAGCCAATTTTGAAAGCAGCCTGTCTGAAAGCTAGCTCACCCAGCCCTTAAACATGACTCCCCCCAGCTTTGCTAATCTCTACTTCTTTCAAGCAGATCCTGCATCAGAAACCAGTCCAAGTCCGTACCTAACACAGGATCAGAGAGTGGCAGCAAGAACAGCAGACAAGAAGCCATGCTCAGGAAAAATGCAGTGACGGAGACATCTGGAGCGCTCTGGGAACCCTATCCATGCTCCCAGAGCGGCGGGACAGACCCTGGCAGCATTCACATATCACCAGGAAACCGTTCCTGCGACACCACACGGGCTCCCCGGTTGTGACCCAGCTGCAATACGTGCTGACACAGGGAGAGCAAGGGCAAGGGATGGCTTTAAACCCCACACTGATGAGGAACATGGACAACGCATCCTCCCTAAACCAAGGAGAACAGCCAGTCAACATGTGTGTCAGGTGCCAGCTATTTAACGGCCTATTTCTAAGCTTACAGCCCTGAAAGGCTCCGTAATCCCCTCAAGGGCAGCGTCCACATCCAGCTCCCTGGGCTGGAGTTTTAGACTGGCTTAAGGAGAAACCGGTAACAACGTCTCAGCAGAATTTCTAAGACTAATCCATCAAGGGGACAATGTCAGCTCTTCCCTCCCACGTGGGCTGGTCCAGGGAACATCAGCCTATTCAAGAAACACCTTCAGAGGACGGAGGGAAGTTCAGAGGACAGCTGGGTTGGAGGGCTCGTGGAAGTCAGCAACGAGTTAGATTTACCCGAATGGGAACAGGACACGTATTCCCTGTTTTATCTACTTAACAACTGCCTCTGTCGTGTCTCAAAAGCATTAGGACTACTAAGGAAGACATCCAGGAACATTGTCCTGCTCTGTTAGAGGCAAAGCTTATTCTAAGGACCAACAGGCAAACCTTGCCTAGAGGCCTTCCCCCTCCCTGACCCCCCAGGGCGCCCGACACCTGGATCCGGCCCTGCCCAGCAGCCAGCACCAGGCTCACCTTGCGAACACAGTTCAGGACGTACGGCTTCCCGTTGTCATCCCGGTACGCCCCCACACCCAGGTTCATCTTCTTGGAGTTGGTGTCACGCTTGAAAGCTTCTGTCACCCCCAGGATGGGGTCGGGGGGACCCATCTCCACATGGGACCACCATGAGCTGAAGGAAAAGAAAAGCAGCTAAGAATTAGGCTTGAGAACTGGGCAGGGACGTGCACCAACAGGGTTACGGAGAAAACCTCAAGGGAAATCTTGTCTTTAAACCACTGGAAAAGGTACAAGCAGTGCTACGAGAATTATCCAGGGGGAAAAAAACCAAACAATTTATTTATGCTCCATGATCTGGCACTGCATTTTACATGACAGAATGGGCAAAGAACCTCAGTTCACTGTGGCTGAAGATAACTGACCCCCTCCACGTCATTAATATGTAGAAATGGCCCTGCTTGCCTTATGTGCTGACGCCAGAAAGGCCCCAGGAAACAAGCCTTAAACTCTTATGCCCTGTCCAAGTGCCGTCTCTTCACAGCCTACAGGCTGGGATCACGTAGGTTAGTCCCCTCCAGGGAACCTCGGCCAGACCCAGGCAAGTGCTCGAAGCACGAATACAGAGCCTCTTCCAAACTCCTGGAAGGGCTCTTGTGCATGAAAATTAATCTGCTATTCCCGCAACGCTGGCTGACCTAATGAAGGTATTTCCCTTCCCTGCCCTACAAACTCTGCCTCACTGGAAGAGGGATGTTGTAGCTAAATGCTGTCTTCCTGGGAATCGCAGAGGACACTTTCTTCCCAGTGTGGCAAGTGACAAGCTCCAATGTGAAGGCCCCTTCCCTTGCTGGCAAGCACGAAACCTCCCTGTGTCAGGAGGAGCTTTGCCCCCAACTCCCCAGCAGCCGCCCCACAAACCACCTGCCTCTGCCCTCTTGGCAGAACACCCTGAAGATGGAGCGGCTCTCTTAATGTCAAGGGCAGACCAGACCATGCTATAAAAAGAAACCCGTTTTTCCTCCCTTTGGCCACAGCCTCCGCCCAGCCCCACGTCCAGGCTTTGCAGGCTCGTAGATAGTGCAAGAGAAGAGGCGGGGTGGTTTTTAACCTGCCTGACCGAGGGCTGCGGCTGTAACAGCCCCCTCCCGAAGACAGGAGTACTAAAGCCCCTCCTGAAGGCAGGAGTACTAAAGACGATGACTCCACACAGCTCTGAGCACCCTGACTCACAGCATCATGCAGGCGCCTGCCCAGACCCCCAAGCTCGGTGGGGGACAAAGCATGCAGCACAAGGTAGATCAGGTTTATCTCCTCTGGGGCAGGATTCAGTCTTGATGGCTAAAGGTGAAAGACACAGCGAAGCAGCTCCCACCGCTAATGCTGCCACGTATCAGCTTTGCAAAGCTTTGCGGCCCGGAGAAGGCTGCCTCACGTGAAGGTGACAAGCTTTCCCAACACAGGAATGCTGTCCCGGGGCTGGGTTTTGCCCCAGGCAATGCAGGCAGCCCGGAGCCAGCCCCGCGCCAGCCAGACCTCCTGTCGAGTGCTCAGTGCGGTGACAGATACAGCACATCCGAAGGCAGCAGGGCCAGGCGGGTTAAGGAAGCTCTAACACTAGTGATCAGCAGAACTCACAAAATTATCTTCCCCCTCCACCCTGTCCCTGTTTTGGGTCCATTTAGACCCAGTTTACCCACTACATAAACATACTTTGCACTAGCTCGTGTATGTAGATTGCACCTCACGGAGCCCCAAACATAATTTGCCCTCTTCAGACTTCACTGCTCTTCCCATCGGTACAGTACTGCCGAATAAAAAGCCCCCATTTCTCCTCTTGACAGGCTCTGTGGAAAAAAGGGCAGCAAGCACGTAGGAGGCAGAGTCACCTCAGGTAGTTTAAAAATGGAAGATGCACTTAGCATTTTCTAGACCACTAACAAGTGTTAATTACCTCTCCGGCTAAGTACAGGATCAACTTAGAAAGGAGGATGAGTCAGTCATGCCAGCAACACACACCCTCCAGAGAGGGACTCGGGCTGCAGCCAGCGGGGAGGGAGCAGCCTGGGGAGCCAACCTGAGCAGGACACGCCGAGAGGGATGTCGGGGCAAAAACCTACTGCAGGTTCAGGCAGCATGCAACGCTGCTTTGGAAAACCTCTCCCGACGCCTTCCTGGCAATGGAGGGGCGGGGGAAGAGAGAAACACAGGAGCGTGTCCCTCTGCAGTTTACCTGGTCTAAGATTATTTTGGTATCGAGGGCTGCAGGAGCCCGGCCGTCTATTTTAAAGAGCTGCTGCTTCCGAGACGGTGACGGCACCTTCTTTCTGCTGGGCTTTTCACCAAGCGGCTTACAGCGTTTGGGGTACTTAGGTCCCGATCCTGCAAGGACTTAAGCAGGTCACTGGGCTCTAATATACTACTGCTGCAATTAATGCTGATCCTGCGGGCATTTACCTAGGCTGCAGCACTCCAGAGAGTTAAGTACTTTCGTTCTGAGCCGGTCTTTCTATCAGCTTAAGGCAGCAAAGGGTAGGTTTAGGACTGATTTTCCCGTTCTCAGCCTGAAGGTTTTGGGGTGAAGGCCAAAGAAAGATTCCTCTGCTGTTTCCAGGGAGGAGAGCTTGCAGGAAGGCAGGGGAAAAAAAGTCCAGGCTGAGTTGTCCAAACACATCAGGATACCCAAGAGATCACAGGGGCAAAGCTTTCTAGAGAGGGGTTTGGGAAAAGAGATCTACTAGGGATCCAAGGCCACAAGTCCTAACGCACCACTACCCCTATGTTACCGTAACATTGTTGTCTCTGCACTGCGTTATATTTTATTTCGAGCAATTAAAAGAGCATTGGTCTCGAATAAAGGTCAAAGTTATAAACTGCACATCCTCTCTGCCAGGCTGGAGGTATTCCAATGCGGAAAACTAAATGAAGGCAAGTTTAAGCTGAGGTTGAACTACCTGAGGGATACCCGATGTAAGCCAAAGAAAGCACGTTCTCCAGCTACAGGACTTGAGCACAGGTGGCCGAGTCAGAGTTTAGATGCTGAGCAGGCCCGGTATTCAAGTGGTCTCCGTATTCTTCAGCCAGGCTGGTCTCCCGAGCCGGTATAATGCACAGCTGAAAGCACAGTGTGACAGATGGGACAGAGAGAAGGTAGGAAAACGCACCAGGAACTGCATAAATCAGCAACACCCTTCAAAAATGTATGTGGAACTCATGGCCCGAGCTGCAGAGACCCAAGAGCGTGCTCATGGACTCAAGCCAAGCCCAGAAAGCAAGTTTTCCTGCAGGCAAGCAAGCGTTCACAAGTCCAGTGAAGGCTTCCATTGTGAAGAGGCCAATCCTCTGTTCCCCGAGGTACAGCCACTTAAGATACTGGATTTCAAAACCTCTGCCAAAGCCCCTACAGCAGTTCTGCAAGCCGGAGCAGAGCGGAGGGGCCAAAGGCGATGCTGTCCGGATACCACAGCTAAAGCAAATATTTACACAAGAACAATGCAACAGGCTGCTCCGGGCTACTACGGTCCTTTCAAGCCTGAAAATTCATTGTCCCAGTCAGCTGCAGTAAGCTTGCCACCAAGAAAAGCATTTAAAATAGCTGTCTGGTGATACATCAGAGCAGCAGACTGAGTTATCACCTTCATTAGCATTTGTGTGTCAAGGGAGCCATTTTAACCATTTTGTATCTCTTCACCTCTGTCCTGATTTCAGAAAGACCATTCCCAGCACAGAGCAACTGTAACAGCTCCGAGCACCACGTGAAGGTGCCTAAGATAAGGAAACAGAAAACTGCTAATCACTGCGTGGCAACGCCTACGGCAGGGTAAGAAGCCACTCTTCGGGCACGCCGCACGGCAACGGCTGGGGACTGTGCATCACGGCTCTTTACTTACAAGAGAGATGGTCTGCCTCCCTTTTAGGTGACCTAGATTCAATTTGGTAATTTACACTTTGCTGTATAACAAGCTTGAGAAAATCAAAGCTGCTGCCAGTGGGCTTGCACACCTTTCACAGGCCCGCTACAGTCCCAGGGCAGAAAACACAAGTTCTAGATACCTGCTCCTCCATACCGGCTGGGAAGAGCCAGAAGGCTGCCTCAGAAGAAGCAGGGGCTGGGAGCATTCATCTCACAAGGCAGCGAGGGGCCATGCTGGACATTACGGGGTTAATCAATATCTAATAGCCTTCTTTATCTGCTGGAACGGGGAAATAAAAAAACCCCACTGCCTGCCTGCACTGACAAGGGCTGGGAGCTGTTCCTTAAAGCTTCCCGAGCCAGCACGGGCCAGGAGTTCAAAGGGCTCTGGAGAGCAGCAAGGCCTTGCCCAGATCCCTCTGCATGCTCTGCTTCTTGGCCACCTGGTCACGGCGGAGTTCCCAGCCAGCGTCCCGGTCAGCGGTACCTTGCGGAGCTGTTCTGGGGTCTTCACAGGGCTCCAGCTGCACCCTGTATCCTTCTGTCCATCCCTCCGCTGGCTTCAGAGGCAGCGGAGTCCAGAGCAGAACAGGCCCTCGGAGAAAGACCCTCGCTCCCGTCCCGCTCACGCCAGGTTTTGCACACCCGAAAGCCTGGCTCTAGCGCAGGCAGCACTGCACGCCGGCGGCACTACCCCAGCCCCGTTTCACGGTGCATGGGGTCCCTGCAGACCCACCACACAGCGCGTGATTCCCAGGCCCATTTCGTGGTGCGTGGGGTCCCTTTGGTCCCACTACGTGGTGCATGCCAGGCAGCAGGACCCCGGCCCCATTTCACGGTGCACGGGGTCCCCCCGGCCCCGGTGCACACCACCACCAGCAGCACCCCGGCCCCGGTGCACAGGGTCCCCCCGG